ATATGATTTCCTCAGTTGCCTTTCTAAATCAATCTTCTGTTCAACTCTTTTACATCATGCTTTCTTTCATTTGCTTTAGGTACTCTACTACTTGTTCAAGAGCAAGTTTCAGAGTCTCTTCTGACATCTATTTTAGTCTTTTCTTTCTTATCTTCATAACTGTTTACTTTCTTCATGTATGATGTTTTTGATGCCATTCTGCAACTCATGTGGTTTTTGGTCATTAGTGCCTAATCCATCAAATCCGTTCTTAAGATGCTCTCTAAATTCAGGTAGGATATATTCAAAATCATACTTTGGCTCTTGTGGACTTGTTTTAATTTCTTCAGCTACAACTTGAACTTTCCTGTCCTGACTGATGGTATTGAACTTCTCTATTGTCTCTTTCCACAGATGTAGTTGAATTAATTACTATCTATTCCATCTAGTGAGTTCCATATGTATAGTTACCATTTATGTTATTGAAACAAGTATGTGTAATGAGTAAGTTATTGGTCTTGCAAAATTCCATTGTGCAATCTCCAGAGTTGTTTCTATCACCAGGGTCATATTTTTCAACTACTAATCCTTCTTCTTAGTTTCTATCGTTTACATTCCAATGACCAGAAATTATCAATGCATCTTGATTGCATATTTAATCGGTTTCAGATTACAGAAGCTGGTAAAAAAAATCATCAGTTTCTTCATCTTTGGCCTTAGTGTTTGGCTTGTAAATTTGAATATCAGTTGTATTAACTGGTCTTCCTTGTGGTGGTGGGTTGAATTCTGAGTCATAGCAACCCTACATAGGGTTTACAAGACTGTTAATCTTTACAGGCGCAGAAGGCCTCATCTTTCTTCTCTGAAGCGACGGGTAGATTTGGACTACTGACCTTGTGGTTAGCAGCCCAACTCGTAATCCACTACTCTATCAGGACTCTTTAGTCTTTCTGATGGTGGTGGTGGTGGTTATGTGCCATGGATTTGGTTCTGACTCATAGTGACCCTGTACAGGGTTTCCGAGGCTGTAAATCTTTACGGGAGCAGAAAGCCTCATCTTTCTCCTGCGGAACCTCTGGTAGTTTCGAACAACTGCCCTTGAGGTTAGCAGCCCGACTCATAACCACTACACTACCTATTACTGACAGTGCTGTACTTCAGGATAGATCTTAAAATATTCTTTTTGATGATGCATGTGACACCATTCCTTTTCAGTTTGTCATTCCCATTGTAATAGACTATATGAATATCTGATTCTAACTGGCCAATACCTGTCCTTTACAGATAACAGATGCCTAGAATATTGATCTTTATATGTTTAATTTCATTTTTGACAACTTCTAATTTTCCAAAATTCATACTTTGGACATGGAATGTTCTGACTACTAATGGATGTTTGCAGCTGTTTCTCCTCATTTTGAGTTGTGCCACATCAGTAAATGCAGGTCCTGAAAGCATTATTCCATCTATATCATTGTTGTTATCATTGTTAAGTGCCTTTGAGTGGGGTTTCAACCCATAGCGACCCTATATAGGGTTTCCAAGGAGCAGCTGCTGAACTTAAACCTCCTGGTTTAAAGTGAACTTTGCAGTCCAGCGCATTAACCGACAGTGCCACACCAGGTCTCCATCTATATCATTAAAGCCTATTATTTTGAGCAGACAGCTCCTACCCAGTCATATTTTGAGTACCTTCCAACCTGAGGGACTCACATTGTGGCACTATTATCAAATAATGTATTGCTATTCATAAGGTTTTTGCTGGCCAATTTTTTTTCAGAAATAAATTGTAAAGTCCTCCCCCTTTATTTGTATTAATTTGGAAGCTCTGTATAAAATTGTCTACCCTGAGTGACCCTGTTAGTATTTAAAATACCAGTGGCATAGTTTTCAGTATCACAGAAATACACATACCACCACAGTACAACAAACTGACAGTCAAGACTTTTAGAGTTGGGCTTCTCAAATTTTAATGTGCATACTCATCAGCTTGTTAAAATGGGCATCTTGTTAAAATCTCTGCTTGGATTTGGTAGGTCTGGGATGGGACCTGAGCTTCTGTCTGTCTAACATGCTTCCGCTGCTGCTCACTGACTCTTACTTTCTGTAGAAATATTCTAGAGCAACCGTCCTCAAATGATGGTTCCCACACCAGCATCATCTTCATCATGGAATCAGAGAAATGCAAATTCTCAGGACCCATTTTAGACCTACAGAATCAGCAATACTGAAAGTGGAGCCCAACAGAAGGGTTTCAACAAGCCCGTTGGGTGATTGTTAAGTTTGAGAACCACTGTTCTAGAAAATGAGTTACACATCATCATTTAGAGTAATGCATTCCCATATTTTAACAATCCCGTCAGCATTTCTTTAAGTCATCTTTTTCATGTTGTACTCATAGGATTTGGGGACTAGATGGAATCTAAGATGAATTTTTATTTCTTTTCTCATGCTACGTACTCGCCTATTAACCTTGTCCTGAGGCTCTGTAGGATAATCACTGGACTGAAAAGTCGGTTTGAACCACAAGGTTGGCAGTACAAACTCACCAGTGGCTCCTTGGAAACCCTACACAGGGTTGTTATGAGTCAAAACCAACTCGACAGCACTTAATAACAACAGCATTAACCTTTGAACTTTCAAAGTGGTTGGTGGAAAGTATGAAACTGAAAGTTAAATGGTAGAAATATCTGTATGATATTTGTTATATTTTATCAATGTTCATTGCTTTACCTTGTGTCCTTCTACTTTCTTGTATATGGAGTTGAAATCTATTTTTTTTTTACAAGACTGCATGGTACCTTTAGCTCCTATACTAATACCATTAAAAAATGTTTTTAAAGGATGGAGCAATGGACAAGAATAATTGAACTGTGTAAGAAATTTGGGACCATTTTATTGGGTTTAGATAGATGCTTGGGGAGGTTGTTCTTGATATAGTTGAGCCACAGAAGCCAACACTGGTTGTGGATTGTTACAGAGGAGAGGACAAGTGGATAGACACCAGGGTCACAGAGAGATTTTTTTAGAAGGTAAGGGAAGCATAGAAGCATTGCAGAGTCATGCCAAAATGCTTGCAGTTTTTAACTTTTTATCAACTACATTATATCTAGAAAACCTGACTATGGGGCAGTTGTTGTTGTTGAGTACCGTCAAGCAGATTTCAACTCATAATGGCCCTGTGTAGGGTTTCTGAGGAGCATCTGGTGGGTTTGAACCACTGACCTTGTGATTAGGAGTCCAATGTTTATCCTACTGTGCCACATCAGGAAGGGTATACATTTCTCTCTCAGGCTTTAAATACATGATAAACAGGGCTACCGCACAACTGCGTGATTAAATTAGAGGAGGAGTACAAAGAGCCGCACACTCCTATTGCTGGGTGACTTTCTGATGGAGGAGCAGCCCTGCGTGAGTTGTACTGAAGCCCTTGTAGCAGAGCTCAGAGTAGTCGAACTGATTTTCCCATTTGGACATCTGTGGGACAATCTTCCCTAGTTGTGTGTCTTATTACTGACAAAAGTGTTGGCCTCCATTCCCAAGTTCCTGAGAATAGCATGCCATTGAGAGGGAAGTGGATGTTCTTAGGAGCCTGGTATCAGATGCTAGATTTCCTAGGTTCTCCAGTGCCTCAGCATGCATACCACTAGACTTTGATGTCCCACTTATATTTATATCCCAATCCCTTATCCCAAATCCATTACCATTGTGTGATTTCAACTCGTAATAGAGACCCTATACGTAGAGTGTAACTGTCCCACAGGGTTTCTAAGACTGTACATTTTTTCAAAATGTCACATGTTTCTCTATTGTGGAGTGGCTGGTGGTTTCAAGCCATTGACTTTTCAGTTAGCAGTCAAATGCTTAACCACTGTATCACTAGGGCTCTTTACATTTACACAGTGGCCTTTGAAAGCACACACAGCAATTCCAAAGAGAATTCCAGTTCATTCTCTTCTAGTAAAGAGTTTTCAAGTTAAGCTAAAAGACTGATCTCTAGATAACTGTGAAAAAATGCTGAGACAAATACATAACTACAAAGAACAATTACTAGGGAACCCGCAATGGAAACAGCATGGTCAAATGTTCACTCTGTAGGACTTAAAGACGTATAAATTTGGGCAGACCAAACAGCCTGCTGATTTTGACCTAAATAAATAACCCAAGATATATGGTAACAAAATCTCTATCCAAGAAATTGGGCCATAACCATCAATTGTTTAACCATTTCCTCTTCTGTAACACATGTACTTAACATTAGAAATGTTTCATAGCAGTGTGTAGAATGCTAGGGAAGAAAAGATAAGGTGTCATTTTCACCCAGGTAGAATGTGTGCATGTGATTGAATGTTGTTGGTTCCAGTACACTGCCTTATGCTGTTGGTTGGCCAGGCTTTCCAACTTGAAGAAACATTTCTAACAAAAGAGATTATATCAAGAATCTTACAGACTTGAGTCAATCTCCAGTTATTCAGAGGTTGACCTTCTCCTTTGGAAAGCATCCAGGATCTTTTCTTCCTTCGAACACTGAATCCATCTTCTTCCTAGTTTCTCCCTGGGCCCTCGCCCACATCTCTCTTTGGACCTTTGCAGAGCTCATTAGGCAACTCAAATAAACAGTGTTTGAAAAAAATGAAGTGAAAAAAATGAGTGCAACTAAAAATCTATGAGATTGATTCATTAATCCTGGATCTGGAATAGCTTTGGGTAGGAGGAAATTGTGCTTTGGTGATAGTGCTTTGGTGACTGAGGCCATCAATTAGCGAGTGGATCTTCCTTTACCTGTCTACCTCATGAGTACTGAAATGCTTTAGTTATTTGTAATTATAAATATTTTTAAATATGAAGAATTTACTTTTGGTTGTCATTTAAGTAGATAACCAATTGGCCCCAAATGATCCGTATGAGTAATATCTGTACTATTCATGAAGTTTCTTGGAAAGGTCCCCATATGCCTAGCCAAATGGGTCAGCCTCCCCCTCCCTCAAACCCTGAAGGAATGAAGGGAAATGAAGATGTACCTGTCCTGCAGTGTCATACAGTCCAAGCAAGTGTTGCTTGCCTCCCACTGTCACGGTAACTATGGAGAAGAGAAAAGAAGAGTTCATAAAATGCATGCTTCCACTAGGAGCTCTGGTAGCGTAGTGGTTACGAATCGGGCTGCGAACCTTAAGGTCAGTGGTTCGAAACTACCAGCTGCTCCGCGGGAGAAAGATGAGGCTTTCTACTCCCGTAAGGATTTACACCCTCGGAAACCCTGTACAGGGTCGCTATGGGTCGGTACCGACTCAACGGCACTTAACAACAACAACAACCAGGAGCCTTCAGAGTTTTCCATGCCAGCATCTCCCTGGGCAGCATGGAGAACCATATGCCTCATCCATGTACATTCTAAACCAAGTTGACGGCATAATTTCCAAATGAAAGACAACCTTGGAATGCAGGGAGAGCAGATGGGTTGAGCCAAGTCCACATTTTTCAACCGAAGTGTGTATTACTGGAGGCAGTAGGGAACAGTGCAGATTGTTGATTAATCCTTATTAAACCCATTGCCACTGAATTGACTCAGTGACCCTATAGAACCAGAGTAGAACTGCCCCAAAGGGTCTCCAAGGCTGTAATCTTTATGGAAGCAGATTGCCACATCTTTCTCCTGCAGAGGGGCTGATGGGCTCAAATCAAAGACCTTTTGGTTAGCCGTCAAGCAAGTTAGCCCCTGTGTCATGAGAGCTGCTTCTTAGGCCCTAGAATATCAAGTTCTTGAAGGGAAAGGATGCTGTACTCCTTTCTGGTCAAATTATTTTCCTCTTTTGTTTGGCTTGAGCCACCTCTCAGGATTGTATACGCAACTTCAATTAGAAATCTGTCAGCTTTTAGCTGTCTTTGAAATGCTAATAAAACCCTGAGCAAAAGGAATATTAACCTACCTGCACATTTTGTAGCAAAGCAAGTAATTAAATGAAAAGGGCTTAACATTTATTTTTTTATAAAAATAAATTGTAAATATTCCTGTGCTTTAATTCAACCAGTTTACCACTTGGAACCTTAGTTGCAGGAAGAAATGTTATATAGGTTTCAAAACTGTAAAAGGTATAGATAAAGCAAAACTCTAAAAGACGTAGACGAAGCAAAATGTAGAGAGCTTGATTTACCTAGCAGGTTTCCTGCCTGGCCAAGCAATTGTGCTTTAAAGTGAGAAGTAATTCAGGGATACCAACCACTTCATACATGTCTGGAAATGAAATTAAGTCTCAACCTTAAAAACGAAATGGAGACTGAACAGATCCAATGCAGGAGTAACACAATCTGCCTGGAGAATGGAAAGAATGAATTTAAATTTCCAAAGAAATCTCATCTTTTTAGAAAAAGGAAATAAAATGTGAAGGACAATATGATTTTTGATTAACTCAAAAAAAGAGATGTGAAAATGCAATGTAAAGGTGAGGTTTTTTTTGTTTCTGTTATGTTTTTTAAGTCTTCCTACCATTAGCTGTTGAAGAGCAAAGATATCAGCTTGAGGAGTAAGGTGTGCCTGACCCAAGCCATAGTATTTTCAATGACCTTATATGCATGTGAAAGCTGGACAGTGAATAAGGAAGATTGTAGAAGAATTGATGCCTTTGAGTTATGGTGCTGGAGGAGAATATTGAAAGTGCCATGGGCTGCCAAAAGAACCAATAGACCTGTGTTGGAAGATGTGCAACCAGAGTGCTCCTTGGAGGCCAGGATGGCCAGAATTCATCTCTCATACTTCGGACATATTGTCAGGAGGGACCAGTGGTTGGAGAAGATCATGTTTGGTAAGGTGGAGGGTCAGAGAAAAAGAGCAAACCCCCCCACCGAGATGGATTGGCCAAGCGGCTACATCAATGGGCTCAAGTGTGGCAACAATTGTGAGGTTGGCCTAGGATCAGAAAGTGTTTCGTTCTGCTGTGCACTAGGTCACTATGAGTTGGTACCAACTCGATGGCACCTAACAACAACAACAACCATTAGCAGTATAGGAAATGAAAAATAAACGAATAACACTTTTTTTTTTAAAACACAACATCAAGATTTTATTGTTTTAATAATAAAACATGATGAAGCTTAGCACTGGATCACCTGGCCTTTTATCTCCTCCAAGTTCAAAATGCTTGCACCTCTTGATAGCCAACTTTCTTTTAGATCTGCAGTTGGGTTCAACACATTCAAGCCTCAACACAATCTTCTTTGTAGTTTGAGCCTTCTTCCGGAAAATTGGCTTTGTCTGTCCACCACTCTGCTTCCAGTCATAATGCCACTTTCCCTGGGCATACAGAGAATCTTTGCCCTTCTTGTATTGTGTTACTTTGTGGGGTTGCTGCTTGCCACACTTCCTACAGAAAGTCCGGCAGGTTTTAGGAACGTTCACTCTGTTTGCAGGAGGCCTACCAGCATGAAAAGCTGAAATAACACCTTTTATAACCGCATCTCTAAAATATGCCAGCCGAATTCTCTAGTGTGCTTGCTGCTCAGAGTTGTTGATTTTACATTGATTTGTTTTCAAGTTAATGGGCTACATGAATGCAAAGTACTTCTTAATGGCTCCGTTTTTTGAAGCGCACTTGTTTAAAATCACTGCCTCCTCAGCCTCTTTTTCTAATCTACTCAGAATTAACAAGTGTTCAGTTTGATAACCTGGCCACAGCCAGTTAGATGAGCTTTTCAATGTGGTGAACCCAATTCAATCCAATGTGAGTTACCTTACTTAACAGAAGAAGGGTTTTTAAACGTTTTGACTTCCTGTCACAAGTCAAGCTAGTGGTGAAAATGAAGGTGAACCCAGGATTCTTTGTTCTGTCTTATTTTCCTTTTTGTATGTGCGCTGTCTGATGAAAACACAGTCAGATGTTCCTGAAATCTGTGTAAATGGTTGCTTTAATGACCAATTCACTGCCTAGTCATGAATCAGGAATGAAGGGAAGCAATCCAGCCATTACAACATGGAATTTCCTGCCTGTAGTGAGCTCAGTACATGCAGACTGGGGGCAGCTGTTGCTGAGACCCCTTGGGCCATCCCATGGCACGTAGGCCCAGGTCATCTGTGGAGTGAGCACTAGAAGCCAAGTTACCCTTGTTATCCCCCTGGGTACTGTTAATATTCCTAACCAATGGCTGTGAACTTTGTCACTGGAGCCCGGAAGTCCCTGCTCACATTTCTGCCATTTTCTCAAGAGAACAGTCATTCCTTCCAGCCTGCTTTTCTTCAGGCCTCACCCTTTTCTCTCAGCTGTGGCTCCAGGGAACTTCACAGGCCTGAGTCTAGTGTGAGCTCAGGAAGGTTGGGTGGTTGACTGAGAGTCTGGGTACAGCCTTGTCTCCCTTTCCTCAGGAAACGGTGCTCAGTGTTGGGAGTAGAAAGTTCACATACAATTCCTTCTGTCATGGAGCATGGAGATTAGTGATTTATTGGCAAAGCACCAACATGGCACAGTATAGTATACACTATGCTAGAAGCAACATGGAGCGTGTGTTTGTGTATGTGTGTCTGTGTACACACTGTTGTAGGGAGGTCAGAGAAGGTTTCTTGGAAGAGAAGATGTTTGAGCTGAAGCCAGTGTAAACTCCCCAGGGTAACTGAGGGAGGGTGATCTTGGGAGATGATATTGGCAACAGTGATCACACAGGGTTAGGCTTCCCCGGATCGTTAACTCAGACTATCTTCTAAAAGTTTTGTTAAGCTATGGAAATTATGAGTTCTGATACCCAAAGAAAGTGAAAGAGAAGAAATTAAAATAATTCCGTTGGATTAAATTAAAGTGGGATGGTGATGCTGGCAAAGGGAAGGGTGTGTGTGACATTTTGGGGTGAAAGTCATGGTGTCCTCTCAGCTTTGTTGTTCAATGACTGTTTACTCTCTGTGTGATGCCAGTCTTACTGGAAGAATCCTAAAGGAAGAGGGTGGAGGTATACCCCTATCTCTGGAAATCATTTATCCCCCACTTTCCTGCCCTTTTATCCTTCCATTCTATGTGAAGAAAGATAAGTTGGTCACATGGTTGATGTCAGAGAACATCAAAGGGCAGCTAGAGACAGAGTCACTTGTCTATGACACACTGTGTGTTGTACACATCATGGCTTTGTGAAACCTTATTTTGGATTAACAGTGGATACCTCCTTATTTGCCACCTGTGTTCTATGTAGTTCCTCAGTTTGGAAATGAATCAGTCACAACAGCAAAGAGAGAAAGTATTGCCACACAACGCTAATGGTAAGTGCATCAGTACCTATTGCCAATGAAATAGATTCATGTGACCCCATGTGTGTCAGAATAGAACTGTGCTCCAGAGGACTTTCTTTCTTTTCTTTCTTAAAGCATTTTTATTGTGATTTGGATAAATGTTTACAGAGCAAATTGGTTTTCTGTTTAATATCTCCAGAGTGTTTTCAATGGCTGATTTTTAAAAAGCAGATCATCAGATCTGAGGGGCCTCTGGGTAGACTTGAATCCATTCGCATCACCCAGGGTCTAGTGGTAAATGCAGTGAGGAGGAAAGAGCAGGATCTCTTAAGTCACATAGGTCTGTATTTGAATCCAGTCTTTGTGATCCATCATCTAGGTGACATTGGGGATACCACTTAACTACTCTATCCTTATCTGATAATATCTCCTACCAAAGAGTCATCAGTGGTGGTGGTGGTGGTGGTGTTACTGAAAGAGGAAAATCTAACAAAAAGCATGTAGCGCCCAGTCTGGCCCACAGTAGGCGCCACACAGTTGTTACTTCCCCTCCATGAACAAATACTGATGGATTTTTCTGAGGACAGGGATTAGTCTGTCATGTTTGTATAAACACAATGCATGTTAAATGGCACATTGAAGAAACAAAAAGCAAAATGGAACCCATTGCCACTGAGTAGATTCTGACTCATGCAACCCACGTACTACAGATAGACCCGTGCTCCATAGGATTTTCCTGGCTGTAATCTTTATGGAATCAGATAGCCAGGCCTTTCTTCCTCTGCACCATTGTTGGATTTGAGCTCCAACCTTTAAATTAGTTGTTGTTGTTCTCAGTCCAATGCTGATCCCACAGTGTCATACCAGCAGTCTGGTGCAAGCTATTTGTGCCACCCAATGTACTGTTGTTGTTTTTAAGTGCCATCAAGTCTATTTTGACTCATAGCAACTCTATATAGGGTTTCTGAGGAGTGGCTGGTGGTGAGTTTCAACTGCTGACCTAGTGCCACACCAGGATTCTACCCGGCATAAAGTGGAAACAGTATTTGTGAATTACCAGTCACTGTCTCCTAGTGTGGTGCCATAGGATCAGCACTGGACTGACAACCACAAGGTCGGCAGTTCAAACCCACTAGCTGCTCCTTGGAAACCCTATGCAGGGTTGCTATGAGTTAGAACCCATTTAACAACAACAGTTACTTTCTACCCTATCTGTAGCTATTTAAGCATATGACTTATCTTCCCAATGGACAAGAACACCCTAGACTTGAGGGAACACTCTCCACACTTTATATACCCTACAGTAAGCAACACAGCTCCTGGCAGACACAGAAGATGCGGAGCTCACAGTATGGGACTAGAGCACCCACAACTCAGGCAGAAGAAGAGCTGGAGCTTGCTGCTCTCCACAAGATGTGGACTGCTGGGAAATCCCATTAGCCAGCAAACCTGCCTGCAGACAGTGATCAGCCTGAAGTCCCAGATTACCTTCTGTTCTCAGAGCTATTAGAGTTGTTTTCTGGATTTTAAGACGCTTTAAAGAGAATAGGTCAAATGACCTGCTAATGGCTCAGAGAGTTCTCCATAAAGTGTGAAAAATTGTCAGTGACCTGTTAAGTATGTAACATGAAGGCCTTCTTCCTCAAATCCATTAAATCCTTTGCTTCTTTGTGTTTCTGCTTTGGACCTCTGTGTTTTCTTCATTCCATTTCAGAGGTTTACAGTGGTCAATTTTATGGGTTGCCAGTGGTGTCAATAAATAAAAGCCTTGTCATGGCTTGACTCTCTTGAAGATCAGTTAGTTTTACTCAGGGAGGAAGTATCCCAGGACTTTAGCTTATTCCCCTCAGTGTTTTGGTCCTCTCATAAAGCTGTATTATTTGCAGATCCAGATGAGGAAGTGTTGGTTCTCCTTGGTAAACCAGCTCACACCACCCACCCAGCCCATCTCTAGCCCAAGGAACCTGGTTCAAAGCCCATTCCTCACTGAGGGGTTGGTTGACATGTCTAAGTTTCCAAAAGTGGTCTTTTTGAAGTCAATACTCTATGATGAATTCCAAGAGTCGAATGGTGGAATGTCAGATCATTTAGGGAGAAGCCTGGAAGTACTCTCCAGTCCCTAGCACAAAGAGGTTTCAATATTATTTTTATTAATGTCTGCATAAGAGTCCTGGTGTGGTACTGTAGGATAAACACTGGACCGCAAGGACACTTTGAATGGTGAAGCCTATAGTTCAAATCTACCAGCCACTCCTTAGAAACCCTAGACAGGATCACTATGAGTTGGAACCAACATGATGACATTTAACACCAACATTCTACATAGTAGGTAGCATGGGACAGGCCTGATTACTTGTGTATGTGGGGACTAGAAAATAGTACCTGATCGTTGGATTCCTTTTTTCCATGAACTTTTTGAAGCCCCTTATATATAGAATGTGGAGTCCTGGTTTGGCACTGTAGGACAAGCATTGGACTCCTGATGTGGCACTAGGATGAGCACTCAAATGTAATGCTTGTTTGAATCTTGAGGTCAGTGGTTCAAACTCACCAGTTGCTCCTTGGAAAATGCATGCAGGGTCATTATGGGTTGGAATCGACTCAATGGCACTTAACAACACAACAACATTAACCCTAGAGTTGTCAGTTTAAACCCACTAGCCAATCCTCAGAAACCCTATATAGGGTCACTATGAGTCAGAACAGAGTCAATGGTACTAAACAACACCATAAACAGCATGTAGTCTATAATTTATGTAGCACATACAAATGTTATTTTGGAGGAAGACACACTATATTGTAGATATAACAAGAAATATAATTTGTAAAAAGTTAAGCAAATGGAAAATGAGTACAAAGCAAAGATTTACTAACTCATTAGTATGCAAACCAGTATGATGGTTGATCTTGTGTGTGATGGATTGAATTCGGTCCCCTAAACATGTGTTGGAGTCCTAACCCCTAGACTTGTGGATGAAACCCTGGTGGCACAATGGTTTCAGTGCTCAACTGCAAATACAAAGGTCAGTGGTTCAAGGCAAGCTAGAAACTCTGTAGAAGAGGAAAAAATCTGGTGACCTCCTCCTGTTAAGGATAAAAACAAAACAAAGCAAAAACGCGACTGAAATCAAACTCACTGGCATCTGGTCAATTAGGACTCACTGTGACCGTGTATGGGTGTTCTGAGGCTGTACGGCTTTATGAGAG